ATGAAAATATTTGCTCTGTTAACTCCGGACTGGCTGGATGGCAGAAAGTGGGAAAGGAGAAACAAATAGGACCCATGAGCCAGTCGGTTGAGGAGCAAGGGATGTAGGGACTGGAATAATGCACAAGTCAACTGCTCATGCCATGATAGCTTTACATCGATGTCCTCTTCGTCTCCCCAAGTTGGGGAGCGTCCCATCAGAAAATTCTAGAGGGACTCCTGCTGCCTGTGCGGAGTACTTCTGTGTTAGTGGCTCTGTGGGATCCTCTCTTTTATCTCTGACCACTTGTCCCTAAGCTTCCCGCCTTCTCCTCCAAAATCCCAGAGTGAACAGAAAGAAGTGACAGAAAGCTGCGTGTGAAAGCAGCTACAATAACAGTCCTGATCCTGGAGCTCTGGGCCACGCTCCGTCCCTCTCCTGGGCCTCCATTCCCCGCACACAAGAGGGGTTTCTGGTTCTCCACTGCCCCTTCCAGGACTTTCTCTCACCATGTTCTTGGAACAGTCTTTTCTTCTGAGGTTCACACATCCATTCATACCATCTTTGTCACTCCCGCAGCCCTGGCTAGCGAGCTCCGTGTGGAACATTCTCCTATGTTCCTCAACCACCCCTGCAGAGCCCTCACCGTTTTCCTTTGCCACATCCCTACCAGGCCTACTGGCTACTTCAAAACCCGCCCTGATGCTGATGCCCCGACCTCAACAGCCTCAAATCCTGGAAGCCATCACCCCCAGCCAGCCTCGTCACTCGCCTGACACTCTAGACAGTGTCCCCACGTGGAACCAGTCTACACTCTCGAAGCTACTCCCTCTCTGGTTCTCTCTTCCTATTTCTGGAGCTCCTCCTTCTCCTGCCCCTCAGGCTAGCACCATCATGGAGGCTCTCCCCTCTCCTCTGAGGTCACCAGCCCTTCCCTACTTCTCAGACCTCCCCTCCCAGCCCACACCCTACGATGGCCTGGCCCCTGCCCCTCTGCCCTGCCTGGGGCCATCTTTAACACCTAATGTGATGGTTAACTTTTTTCCAGCTTTACTGAGGTATAGTTGACACATAAAACCATAGAATATTTAAAATTTCCTTTGTGAAAAACAAATAAATAAAAAATAAAGTCTACATTGTGGTGATTTGATACACGTACACGCTGTGAAAGGATCCCCCCCCCCAACCCCAACCACCACGACTCTATCTAGTTCATCAGCACGTTGTGGTGAATAATTTTATGCGTCAACTTGACTGAGTTTAGGGATGCCCAAGTGGCTGGGAAGCATTCCTGTGTGTGCCTGTGAGGGCATTTACATAAGAGATCAGCATTTGAATGGGGAGACTGAGTCAAGAGCCACCCTCACCAACGTGGGTGGGTGGGTGGGCGTCGTCCAATCTGTTGAGGCCAAAATAGAACAAACAGGTGGATGGAACTTGAACTGAGACACCCATCTTCTGCCCACCCTTGGACATCTGCGCTCAGGGTTCTCCAGCCTTCGGGACTCCAAATGGGATTTATACCACCTGCTTCCCTGGGCCCCCAATTTGTAGACAGAAGATAAAGGCACTTCTCAGCCTCCATGATTGTGGAAACCAATCTCAAGATGGTCCAAATAATCCAATCTCAAGATGATCCCTTTCTATATACCTGTAGGTATCTGATTGGTTCTGTTTCTCTGGAGAACTCTCGCTAATCCACCCAATTTCTCCCAACATCGTCTATCGTCCTCTCTTCTGCTCTGAGTTTGGTCACTGCCAGGGGAGAGCCTTGTTATCCAGCCCCAAAGGATCATTGCTTTTGTAAATTCAGTATTGCATTTCTTGTACAAAAGCTACCGTATTTCCCCAATCCTTTACAAGCCCTGCTCAGGCCCCCCGCCAGGCCACCTCAGCACATGGCTCTCTCTGCCTCTCTACTGACGCTAAGTACATGTCCCCTTGAGTTTTCATAGCTCTCAAACTTAATGGGACCTAAACTCAGCCAATGCTGCCTACAGCTACTTAGTTTTTTGTGCTGGAAGTGTGAGGGTCAACTTGACACCTCCCTCTTCCCTGCACCTCAAACTCCTCAACCTCCAGAGTTGCTTGATTCTACCTGTGAAACAAATCTCAAGTCTATTCCTTCCTTCCCTCCCAGCTCCATCATTTCTGGCTGTTTTAGTTCCGACCACCAATGTCTCACTTGGATGCCCAAACGATGTTTTTAAAATGCAAATCCCTGAGGCACATGGGTGGTGCAGTTGGTAGAGCGTCTGACTCTTGGTTTTGGCTCAGGTCATGATCTCAGGATCCTGAGATCGAGCCCTACATCCAGCTCCACACTCAGCACTGAGTCTGCTTAAGACTCTCTCTCTCCAAATAAGTAAATAAATGTTTAATAAAATTCTTTCCAATACTAAGAGGGAAACATTCAAAATCCTTAACAGGCCCTAGCAGACCTCATTGGCTCGCCCAAGCCTGCCTTTCTTTCTCTCATTCTCTGCAATCCACACTTTTCCTTTCATAAGGCAAACTCTTCACCACCTCATGGTGACACGCTGTCTCTCCACAGTTCCCACACCCCTACCCTCATATCCACCTGGAAAATTCCTGTTTGTCTTTCAGTTCTCAGCTTAAAAGCCGCCTTCCTCACCCAGCATAGATTAGATGCTGTTTGGTCTTAGGTACCCCGTGCTTTTCGCTCATATTGTTTTTCACAAATGCAATTAAACCATTATTTTGTGATTACCTGCTTAATGATTGTCTTTTCCCCTCCGCTATAAGCAACTCAAGAGCTCAGGTCCTGTCTCGCTGGCTCATGGTCATGTCCCCAGACCTGGCACAGGACAGAGTGGGGTTCTAACCTGAACGAGCCTATGTTCAGGTCCATCAGGAGAGGGGCAGAGGGGAGCAGATCCATGAAATGGGCACCCCTTTGATCCCCTTCTCCATAGCCCTCCTGGTGTGCTGCTCCTTCTCCCATCTCCTTATCACTGTTGACCACCTTTGTGTAAACATATGACTTTAAAATTGTTGAAAATATGCCACTTTAACAACAGCAGGTGCCCCGAGGATGCCACTGGGCTCCCCGCCCACCACCCACCCCCCTTTGTGGCCCAAATGAGATAGAAGCCTGCATTTCCCCCCAACTCCTCACTCATCCCTCAGGGTGCCTCCCCTCAGAGCCCAGATGTCCCCAGAGCATCCCTATGGTCGCTTACTCCTACGGGTCCCTTCTTCTTCTTGCTTGCCCTGGCTCCACCTGCTCCTCCCCCATCTTTCCAGGGCCTCTTTCCCTGTGGCCTTCAAAGGTCTCTCCAGTCCTGGAGGGATTGGTGGGAGGTGGTGAGGTAGCAGGGAGAACTTCCTTGATCCTCGGACTCCCTTGATCTAGCCTCCTACTTTCTTTTTCCTCTCAAGACCAAACTTCTTGAAAGAATTATCTCCATGTGTTGCATGCGCTTCCTCCCCACCTCACCGTTATTATTTTATTCACTAATGTTTAAAGAGTCAATAAGCGCTCACAATACAGAATACAAAACCTTCCAGAAGGCACACGGTGAAGTCTCTTCCTTCCGTGGTGTCTCCAAGCCACACAGCTCTCCTCAGAGGCAACCCCCGCTGTCCGCATCTCACGTATCTTTCCAGAGAGCATATGTGTACGCAGATTCTTGTTTGCATTTTTTATACAAATGAAGGCACTTATGCACATTTTCCATCCTTTGCTTTATTTTTTCACGTAAAATGTGTTTGGATTTCTACATCAGGAAATCCAAAGCTGCTCCCTTCCTTTAAATAGCTGCCAAGAGCCCTCCGTGAGGATGTACCATCAGTTCTCTGCTGTGCACACCCAAGATGCTTCTGGTCCTTTGTTCTAATGAACACACTGCGATGAGTATCCTCGCATATATAGGATTTTTCCACCACTGTGAGTGCGTCTGTGGGATAAATCCACGGAAATGCAATCGTATGTTGCATTTTGGAACTAACTTGCTTTCCATAAGGGTCCTAACCAGGGCCCCTACCCACAGCAAAAAACGGGAGGCCCTGTGTCTCCCCAGCCCAGCAGCTGCCAAGTCCTACAGATTCTTCTGTGGGTGCTTGTTCCGTTCCTGCCTCCTAGGCCGCACTGCCCCGTGTTCATCACCCAGCCTCCCTGTCTGGCACCCCATCCTGGAACACTTCCTCCTGCTCAGGAAACCTGGGTTCCTCCCGGGCACCCTCACATGCAGGCTGACTCCCCCACAGAAGCCTGTGCACAAAGCTGGAACTCCGTATGAGGTAATGAAGCCTGGCTCCAGAAGAGGTACTATGTCCTCCCGGTGCTGACAGATGGCATTTCCAAAAGTGAAGAAATACTCCCTGCATTCTGCTCTTTTAAAAAATATATATATGTTTTAGTTATTTCTTTGGACATAACATCTTTGAGGGGCGTGTGTGCTGCCCTTGATTTGTTTGACTTACACCGCTGGCCACGCACTGCATTCTGATCTTGGTCTCCCCAACTCTTTCCCTCCCGCCCCTTCTGCTTGGCTTTGCCTTTTGCTACCCCTGTACCCTCCTCCTAGATCTTGTGGAGTCAGGGGTGGCAAGGGCCACCTCCTTGGCCCTGCTCCATGCTCTAGACCCCGGGGGCCCCCCCAGCAATGCCAGACCTGCCCTCCACTCTGTCCCCTTCCACCACCGGCTCCCAATGCACAGACAGAGGCAGAGGAGTGCGTCCCCAGCCAGGTGTCAAAGCAGATGCTCTGAGAGAGCGCCTTGGGTGATAGGAAGAGTCCTGGCATTTTCACATTTGGGGGATCCCGGGACTCAGCATCCTCCGTGGACCGGGACCCACTCGGGGTGCCCTGGGGTGGGGGTGAGGGGCAGGAGGCCGGGAGGGCGGGAAGAGGGAGCGTGGGGAATGCAGGACGAGCTCCCGGGCCGCTGGGGGGGGCGGGAGGTGAGGCGCGGGAAGGGGTGGGCCGGCTGGGCTGGCCCTGCAGCGGCGCTGAGAGCCGGGCGGGCGTGGGCGTCGGGGCAGCAGGACAGAGCCCGGGGCGCGCCGAGCCTCCCGCTGCCTCGCTCCTCCCGCCGCGGCCATGACCGAAAACTGCGACAAAGTTCCCATCGCCCTCGTGGGGCCCGACGACGTCGAGTTTTGCAGCCCCCCGGTGAGTCGGGCTGGGGATCCCCGGTCCCGCTGCCCGCTCCGGCCACACAAGGGGCCCGGCCTCGGCGCCTGGGTCCCTGCCGGGGTCGGGATTTGCGCCTCGGAAGGTGGGAGGTGGGTGCCCCCACCTGCGCGTGGGGGGGATGGGGTGGGGGGCTCAGGACCTGCAGACGGGTGGGGACGGGACTCAGGAGGGGGCGCCTGGGTCCCTGCCGGGGTCAAGATTTGCACCTCGGAAGGTGGGAGGTGGGTGCCCCCACCTGCCGTGTGCGGGGATGGGGTGGGGGGCTCAGGACCTGCAGACGGGTGGGGACGGGACTCAGGAGGGGGCGTCTGGGTCCCTGCGGGGGTCGGGATTTGCGCCTCGGAAGGTGGGAGGTGGGTGCCCCCACCTGCGCGTGTGGGGGATGGGGTGGGGGGCTCAGGACCTGCAGACGCGTGGGGACGGGACTCAGGAGGGGGCGTCTGGGTCCCTTGCTCCGGGTTAGGATTTGCACCTCGGAAGGTGGGAGGCGGGCGCCCCCACTTGTGCGTGTGCGGGGATGGGGTGGGGGGCTCGGGACCCGCAGACCCCTCTCCCTTCCCCTTCCCTTCTGCTCCGCCAGAAGTTTGCGCCTCCCCCAGCCGCGCCCGAGGACCGGGGCCCGCGGGAGGGAGCGCGGCGAGAGGGGCCGCTCCTCATCCCCATCCCCATCCCCATCCCCATCCCCATCCCCATCCCCCCGAGTGCCGGGTGCGGGGCGCAGACCTGACGGTCCCCCCTGTCCATCCCCCCGCCCCCGCCCGGCCCGCAGGCCTACGCCACGGTGACCGTGAAGCCCTCCAGCCCCGCGCGGCTGCTCAAGGTCGGAGCCGTGGTCCTCATCTCGGGGGCGGTGCTGCTGCTCTTCGGGGCCATCGGGGCCTTCTACTTCTGGAAGGGGAGCGACAATCACGTGAGTCCGGAGGGCGGGGTGCGGCCCCCAGGTGGGGTGCGCAGGCCGGGGAGGTCCCCCTGGGGCGCGGGGGGGAACCAGGGCGCTGGTGCCTCGGGGTGGGGGTGGGGGGTTCCCTCTCGCCCCTGCAGACGTTCCCCCCACCCCCACCCCTACCCCCACCCCGGGGCACCTCCTCCGCCCTCCCTCCATCCAGGACCACCGCGCGCCTTTCTGCTCTTGGCAACTTCGTGGGAAAGCAAGTCAGGGTTTGCAGGGAGAGTCCCTCCCGCCTAGAGGAGCGGGAAGAGGCAGCTCGGGCGGGCGGCTCGAGGGAGGTTCCTCCCTGGGGCTCCGGCCCCGCGCTTGTGGGGGGCGGGGGGGGGGAGCTAAAGCTACGATACAGGGGGACCGTCGAGGGGCTGCGGGTGAGGCCTCTCCTCTCGGGCCTCATCCCGGGGGAAGAAAGGGGACTGGGTGATGGCTGAGGCCTTTCCCTTCTCTCCGGCCCCAAGGCAAAGAAATAGTCTGACTTCCTTAAAGGTGGCAGATCCCTTTTTTTAAAAAATCAATGCTGGCCTAGTCACGTGTGAGTTAATGATAACTGTTGCACTAACTGCTGTCCTACTTTCCTTGTGTGTGACTATTCGTTGTAAAGCAACCCCAGCTCTCAAGGAGTGTAAAAAGCGCTTCTGACTTGACTGGGTGGATTTCCAGGGCGTTCTCTGAGCACTCTGGATTTGGTTCACCTAGGTAAAGAGGTGGGGCATTTTTATCTTGATGACCATTGCCAGGCCTGGTGTAAGCTGCTTTGGGCTAATGGAAAAGAATTCCATCTCCTGGATACACACAAAGGGCTTTTTCTTAATCACTACCCTCAGAGGATCTGCGACTGCTGTTTGTCACTCCCCCTCTCTCCCACCATGAAATTCAAAGCATGAACGAATTCCAGTACTTAGAGAAAATGGTGCTGAAAGCAATTCAACCATTTTACACATCACATCTTCTGCAGTCACCGCATAATTTGTATTTTTAACTCAAATGCCTACTGTAGATAATCATGCCATTTAGCACTGAGTCTGTTTTAGAGACTATATCAAATTTACAAGCATCGATTTGTAAGATCAGAACTGCACAGTATTTTGTGTATATTTGAAAAGTGCCTTAATGTATTTGTATTTTAAATATAGAAGTTAGGCCAGATGCTCATGTTTGAAAGCAGCAGATCTGAGCAGAAGAACAATTTCAAGATCTACATCTCCATTAATAGCAGGGTTGAGATTGTCATGCTTGGGAAATTGTCTGGTATTCGAATGTAAATGCTATCTTTTAGATGACAAAAACCTCAGGGGTACAGGTCATTTGGAGATAAAAATAGCTTTGCTTTTTTTTGGGGGGGGAGGGTAGGGATTTTAGACATGATGTATATTAAAATGAATACCATTTGATATTTAATTATTCCACAACTACCGGGCAAGCTTCTAAAAAGAGAGACTGAATGATCCTGCTGACAAAGTGGGGTTACCTCTTTGCACCTTGTACTTTGCCACAAGGGTCTGGTTCAAGAGAGCAGCAGTATTAAATCCTAAGACTACAGAGGAATACTGAATTGTTTGCCAAGAATCAAAGTTATTTCTATTTCCTGGACAGGCAGGAGGATGAAGAAAATCATGGTATCTTTTTTTTTTTTACTCCCAAAATATTTGGTGCTGCTCTAGATTACTTAAGTCGGAAAAACAAATCACTAAAATACTAAATAGGGTACATGTGGCACCATCTCGGCATTGCACATGCACAGGTGTACTATTTACACTTGTCTTCAGGGATGGCAATCCACGTAAGTCTCTGTCGAACAAAAAGATGTCTCCCACCAAATGGACTCCCCACTCTTTGGGGGTATCCATTCCTCTGTTCTTCTGTATTTGTTTATAGAGGGGAATGGGCTGTCAATCACCTCCTCTCCCTTTCACAAGGGTAAATCCCCTCAGGACAGGCTGGAGGACTAGGGAGCATCAGAGTGCTGATAACTGGGGGGACAAGTGACGGGGCTGAAATATTGAGGCCATGTCCCACCTGCGTGATTGTAAATGCGGACAGCCCTGCCCTGTGGGATGAGGGGATGAGGTCAGTGCTCAGGGCCTTTATTCTCAGACTGATTTTTTCAAAATATAGTTCCAAGCATTATGTCATTAATCTTACAGAACCCAGGCTTCATTAGAAACTCATTAGCAAATATTCCTGGCTGTAAAAGTCACCACACTGAGCAGAATTTTGGCAAATAATAAACTCCGTAGTACTTAGAATATCGCCTTGGGTGCCAACAGCTCCATTGGCCCAGAGCAGGCAGTGTGATCACTGCTCCACCCGGCCCGCCTCCTGAGCTCAGGGCCCAGTACCTTGTTTGGTTTGCTCTCCCACCATTCACACCAGGAGGGCACAGACCTCTCACCGCTGGGCCTTGCAGTGTGCTCCTTCTGTGGGACGGGCTAAAGCTACATCATAAAGGACCCGATAGCCATGCCCAGTCCGGGAGCTTCTGCTGGTGCAGAGGTGGCAAGGGGGCGGTGGTGGAGGAAAGTAACATTAGGACCACAAGCCTCTCTGCTAGTGTTATAATTTGGTCTCCTTAAGACCTGCAAAGAATTTGGAGACGGTTCATTCCTGAAATTTTGCATTGCCTTCCTAGTAAAAGCTTATGTGCAGTGGTTTCTCTCTCACACACACAGCCTCCTGTTGCACGAGTGAAGGATGCTTGTGCCAGCAGGAACTCACGCAGACGTGGTCTGCCGTGTTCCCACTGCCGGTCATACCCAGCCCTTGCAAACAGTGGCTACCCAGAGAGCACGGGGACAGAACAGAGCCCGCTTTCTCAGCCTTACCTGCAGAAGGCACTGGCTTGGCCAAAGAAAACAGGTTTCCCCAACTAGGCTGATCTGATCATGAGGACCACCTGGGATGCAAAGTCAAAACAGACTGGTGGGCCTGCTCCAGTCTCCAGCTCAATCCGAACCCCTAAAAGGGGTTCTTCTGATCAGGCAAGCCTGGGGGCGTAAAATACTGCAGGAACCCACATTTGGGAGGGAAGGCAGGGCACTGAGAGATGTTGGGCTGAAATAGTGCGCCAGTGTCTTCTGTTCCGCTGAGCAAAGGCTGTTTGCGGCCCGAAAGGGGACTGGCCCGCAAAGCCATTTCTATGTCTCTGCTGGTAAAGTAAAATTGTGCTCCGAGGGTCTGGTGACAATGAGTTTCCTGCAAGCAATGACCCAGTAATGAGATACTTCTTCCCGTGTTTGTCCATGTAGCGGTCTTTCTTCATAATGAGGGAGAAAAATCGGACTTGAATGGAACCTGAGCTATTTGCAGTTCTGACCTACTGACCCCACAACGAAGTAGCAAGTGTCTCGCATAAGTTCTCAGTCCTTCCTCTTTAAAGATTTTATATCTTATATATTTTATATATAAGATATGTATATGTTATATAAGCTATAAGAACACGCACACACACGCATACATATATGCTTCTAAGTCAGAAAAAGAAAGAAGGGAAGACTCACCTACTACCCTACAATACAGAGAAAGTTCGAGCAGGGCAACAGCACCCTGGGCAGGAGCAGTGTGTGATTTCTTAGTTAGTGCACTAACAAGATGTCTACAATAAGAGAGCCCTTTGGATGATCTAATTTAGTGGTAAACTAAAAACCATATATTTCACAAAGTTCCTCTTAGGATTTTACTCAGAAGGGGCACCTGGGTGGCTCAGTGGTTGAGCATTTGCCTTCAGCTCAGGGTGTGATCCCGTGGTCCTGGGATCGAGTCCCACATCGGGCTCCCCCCAGGGAGCCTGCTTCTCCCTCTGCCTGGGTCTCTGCCTCTCTCTCTCTCTCTCTCTCTCTCTCTCTCTCTCTCTGTGTGTGTCTCTCGTAAATAAATAAAATCTTTAAAAAGGAAAAGTGCTCACTTCAGTAGCACATATACTAAAAAGAGGGAGCTTTTATTCAGAAATCCAACACATAAAACACAAACAAGCAGAGCCACTCTGGTCAAACTGTAGGTGGACAGGAAAGAAAGGGTGATGTCACAGTCCCACCTGCCCTGTCACCCTCCCCTCTGGGCCACCTCTGAAACCTCAGAGCTCTAAGAACATAAATGAAAACCATCTCTGAGGGCGAGCTTCTTCATTTTACACCCAAGGCAACTCTCAAGACCCGGGGCTAAGTGGTGTGGCCACTGGTTTTTCTGGTTCTTGGGCCAGTGCTCTCCTCGGATGCCAAGTCTCCCTCCCTTCTTCCCCTACACGGCTCATAACAATATGCCCTACACCACCATATGCCTGTGCACACAATCATTAAAATGACTAACTCCCACACTGAGGCGAAACAGATGTGCACATTGACCTTGCTCTCTACAAAGACTGCTCTACATCAGGCATATCCCAGCCCCGTCTGTAGTCCTGACTATATACCGTACCCCAGGCCCAACCTTAACCAGCGGGGTTTTTAAAAAACCTCTCAAATTGAGGTGCCACTGCAGACTTGTTCAGTTCACAGCCCGGTTAACCATTCATCCATCAATGGCTCTCAACTCTGACCGCTAAGTCAGAGTCAGTAGAACTGACCTAGGAAGAGAAAGATCTATGTCCAAGCCCCATCCCCACAGGTTCTGATTTGGTTCATCCAGACGGGTCACGCATGCCCTGGAGCTAGAGCTTCTACTCACATACTTGTATGCACAGCCAGGATGGCAAATCCCTGAGCTACTTGAATAAGTATCAGAGATCACCAAAGCTTTTGCTTTTAAGGTATTTTTAAAGAACTCATTGTACTAAGTGACTGGTGTACGGATGAAGTCCTCATATACAAATATATTACTATGAACGATGATTTGGTGTGTCTCTAACAAATGTGTCTACTGCAGGTCTAAAGATAAGCCCTGCATCGCTCTCAAAGGAAAGCCTCACTGACTCCTATGTTCCCTTCCAGATTTACAACGTCCATTATACCATGAGTATCAATGGGAAATTACAAGATGGGTCAATGGAAATAGATACTGGGAACAACCTGGAGACCTTTAAAATGGGAAGTGGAGCTGAAGAAGCAATTGAAGTTAATGATTTCCAGAACGTAAGTATATTTCATGCATTTAGAGGGCTTAGCCAGGCAAGCCTGGAAGACTTTCCTAATCCAGGGAGAAGCAACATGTCTCACGCACAACCAAGTGGTAACTGTTCTTTATGGCCGTCATGGTGCCTCTAGTTCAACATACATTATGCAGCATATTCTCTCTCTGAGAAAGGACCACGGTTTGTCCTTTCCATTTCCAGAATGGAAAAAAAAAAAAAAACAAAAACACCCAACACCTTGGCACTGAAAAGAACAGGTACTTGGAACTATATAAAGTCTTGGCAGAAGGACTCCAGAGCGCTATTTCTTTCCAAGCAGCTTTCTGTAACACGGTGAATAAAATGCTCAAAACATCCCAAAATGTTCCGAGGTCTGAAATGTGAACTTGCAGAGGGGAGGGGAAATTGTAATGATCTAACAAGCTCGTCAACAACAGGTGGGACCTGTTTATGCACTTTTCTCAATTCTTCAGATTTCCCATTGATTCTGGAAAATGAGCTTGAAGAAATTCCCCTATCTTAATCCTAGGTTTCCTGACCGTGGCCAATTACAGATAAAACATTCGAGTCTCCTTTGAAAAGGGTGAACACGTCTGTTTCCAAAGGCTCAATTTACAGGCAACTCTGAGCCCTCAAGCTACGCATCTGTGCTTCGGGGTACCTCTGCAAGACAGTGGCACTCCGGGCCCTCTTTCCGGTTGGCCACATACATATCTTATTCTCCTCATGTTCTAAGATGAGGAAAAGGCATCCCTGTTTGTGTTCTGTTAAATCTGTAGATGGAGTAGGTGAGACTTGATAATGAAAAAAGGCACTTGAAAATAATGTCTCTTCTGATAGTTTATTGGCCTACAAACATCTCATCGACCCGCCTTGCTCCGATTGATGGGGAAAAGTGGAGATGCTTTTCATTTGAATGAAAGAGCTCCCCTTGCTGATGCCAAAACGTATTTCACAAGTCCTATTGAATACCAAACAGATGCTAACCTTCCAGAGAGCCTTGGTGATGTTAGGTCTTCCTTGCTGCTAACAAGGACGGGCTGTGTCGGGAATGGGCTCTCCCAAGGGCGGGTGGGGTGGGGGCAGGCCCTGCAGCCCTGCATGTGACCAGCTGCACTCCGTTTAATCGGAGCTTTGCAAACGGTTCTGGTCAGTGCAGAAAGATCATTTCTCTGGACCTATTAAAGGCTTTTACTGCCAGACCCAGGACAAAGTAAAAGCGTTTTTTCTTTGTACCGTTCAATGTAAGGCGACAAAACGTGATCCCCCCCACCCACCCACACACATATCATTCAATCCAGAACAGAATTGAACACCTATGATGTGTCACGATATCAAGATATGCAAAGGTAGCTACACAGGTGAATAAGATCCATCTCTCTCAAATGTGCACGAATCAGGAATATACTTTTAAAATACTTTAATCCCAAACCTATATTTCTGTTTTATAATCCTTCGGTTAATAATGGTATTGATTGTGTTTTGTTCTCATAGGCCAACAGGGCCACAAATATTTTACAAACTGATCAATTCTCTTTGATAGCTTCCACATTTCTCTAAGTCAGAATTGGTGAGTAGGACATTTTTTTGATGGATAGAACCTGTTACGAGTTTAAACAAGCCTCGACTTTTGAAAACACATGCATCAGCCATTGTGGTCCCCACGCTATTACTTTCTCCTGTGTTTTACACCATCGGTCAAATTCAAGAGGTGGGTGTCAGGACCTACTGTGTGCAAGGGAGAGTGCTAAGCATGGAGGATGCAAAGATTAACTGACACCTGTTCCCTCCCTCGGGAGGCAGGCATCCCATGCAGACGTGACTTCGGGTCAGCCCAGGAAGCGTGCTGCAACAGAGCTAGGAACAGAGTGCTGTGGAACCCAGAGGGGGCAGTTGCTGACAATTTGGAGATTGGAGCAGGTTTTACAGAGGTGGTGACTATTGAGTCGGGTCCTGAAGAATGATTAGGGTTTCAACTCGCAGAGACATAGAGGCAGGGCTTTCCGGACCCAGAGAGGAAAACTGAATACAAATGCACAGGGCCTGCTGAGTTCTGAGTAGCCCAGTGTGGTGGAAGGTGGAGAAGGGGAGGAGGAGTGGGGCCAGGTTAGGAAAGGCCCTGCATAGTGAACGGCGAACGGTCTCCCCTATTAACCTAGGACCCCATCAAGATTTTAGTAGAGCCAATGGGGGAAAAAACCCTCCTGAGAGGGAAGAGCATTGAACAAAAGGCTCTAGGCCCTCTACCATAAAAGAAAAGATTATTCAGGCCACTTGGTAAAGAAGAGACAGCAGACCCTCTCCAAGGGGGGGGGGGGCTACTAGAGTGGGGTTTTACAGTAGGGGAGAGAGATTGAGTTCAACTCTGGATTCTATCAGGAGAAGTGGGGATTTATAGCTAAGGGGCAGGGTCGGGGTATTGGTGCATAGAAAACTGCTAAGAGAGAGAGTAGTGCTTTACTAAACTGAACCAATGGGATTTTTGCTCAAGGCAAGCTTGAGTGGTCAGACATAGAGGATGGGCAGACCAAGGCAGACTCAGCAGGATTCTTGCTGAAACTGGAATAAATTGGCCAAAGTAGAGCCCATGGTTGGGGCCCAGTCAAGAGGTGGCTAGAGGTGGGTCAAGGAAGGTCTTTTGTCGGGACCCCAAGGAATACAAAAAGGGGTTTGTTCAGAGTTACGTTCTAGAAAGCATCAGTGCTATTGGGTTAAGCCAACCCTCTCTGGCCTAATAACTCATTTAAATAACATAAAGCCTGGTTAGAAATTAAGATAGAATAACGTGGTGGGTATATACAAGTGTTCACTACACAATTCTTTTAACTTTGTGTATATATGCACATTTTAATTTAAAAAGCTGGAGAAAAAAATAGTGTGACCTACCTGGTACATAAGTTAGTGACTTCAAAAATCAATATAACCCTCCTTCCAAAAATGAAAATTAAAAAAAAAAAAAGGAAAAATAGAGGGGCACCTGGGGGGCTCCGTCAGTTAAGCATTTGCCTTTGGCTCAGGTCATGATCTTGGGGTCCTGGGATCCAGCCCTACATCGGGCTCCCTGCTCAGTGGGGAGTCTGCTTCTCCCTCTCCCTATCCCTCTGTGTTCTCTCTCTCTCTCTCTCTCTCTTTCTCTCTCAAATAAATAATAAAATCTTAAAAAGAGAAAAAAAGAATGTCATCGTGAGTTGAAGCTATGCCAGAAGTCACATTACGTTGATACGTGAGCGGGTGTTAGATGCTAGGCACAGATACAACCCAGTTTTCCAGCCAGGCCCCAGGGACCAGAACTTCCCCAGGCTCTCCAGAGCCCCGCACCCTTGGGCCCTGCTCACGGAAGGCCAGGAGAGCCCTAGTCTTTGTGACAACCAAACACTCCTTGAAAGATTTCTAAAGTACCCTCTTGGGGGAAGGACCCCTTGTTGGAAACTTCTGGTCTAAAGCCACAGAAATCCAGGCAGCCCGGGTGGCTCAGCGGTTTAGCACCGCCTTCAGCCCAGGGCCTGATCCTGGAGACCTGGGATCGAGTCCTATGTTGGGCCCTTCATGGAGTCTGCTTCTTCCTCTGCCTGTGTCTGCCTCTCTCTATCTCATGAATAAATATAAAATCTTAAAAAAAAAAAACACACAACCATAAAGCCACAGAAATCCATGAGATCCTCTAGACAGAAAAAAACGTGCAGCTAAAATGAAATCACCTGATTCTTATTTTAAAACATGCTAGAGCCTTGGACCCTGCGCTCATTATCTCTGGTAGCAGATTTCTTCATTATCACCAGCTCCTAAGGCCTTGTTTGTTTGCAAAAACAGGAGGTTTGCGTGGCTTTCCTGTGTTTTTCCATTCCCTCCACTTAATCTCTTAATATGTCTGGCTGCTTGATATGGATTTGTAGCCAGACAAGGTGGTTAATATGTGTGAATTCCTTCCCCCGGGACCCGTTCCTGTGGGGGTTTCAGTTCTCTTCTCAGCGTGTAGACTGTCAGAGCTAACTCAATACTAGATTCACATTCGGGGCTGCGAATCCTTCAATAGAATCAGCTCTGTCCTTTGGGGAAACGGTAATGGTTATAGGGTGTTATAGGGTGTTTCCTCCCTTGCAACTCACATTTACAGGATATGAGGGTTCCAAGTGAAGAGAACATACCGCTTGGGGGTGGCAGTCATCTCCCCTTGCCGCCCGGCCCCCACTGCCTTCTGGTTTTCAAACCGTGAGGCCTAGATTTACATGCGGAACAAGAGCAGCAGGCCTTCCGGAGAGAGCAGGGAGCAGTGGTTCTCAAACTGTGTTCCCTGGGCCACCAGCGGCAGCAGCACCTAAGAGCTTGTGGGAAATGCAAAGTGGAGCCCCCACTCCAGACCCACCGCGGCAGAAACTCCGGAGGTGGCACCCAACAGCCTTTAAGTTTATCGAGTCCTCCAGGTGATTTTGATGCAAGTGAGAATTTGTGAGCTGCTGGTGCGGAAGAGACTGGGACTCGAAAGCTGCGTGTCTTAGCCCACGCAAGGTGCTGTAACAGATTCCCAGCGACGGGGTGATTATTCTTAAACACCAGAAACCTCTCGCAGGGCTGGAGGCTGGGCAGTCCAAGGTCGAGGCACCTGCAGATGAGCGTCTATTGAGGGCCTGCTTCCGGCTCCTAGTGGGCCCGTCTTCGCACTCTGTCCTCACGAGGCAGAAGGGGCGAGGGAGCTCTCTGGGGTCCCTTTGAGGAGGGCACTAATCCCATTCTCGAGGGCTCTTGCCTTCATGACCCCATCACCTCCCAAAGGCCCTACCTCTAGCTACCATCCCATTGGGGGGGTAGGTTTCAACACAGGAGTTTGGGTGACGTGAACAATACCATTCAGTCTGTGGCAGCCTATTTCAGTCATCTAAACACTGTGTCACCCTGAATAAGGTCTTTTGTCCCTGCACGGCTGGTCCTCTGCCCTGGCTTTGAAGCATGCCCGTGTCTGGGCACTGCCCCCAGGCCAATTAGTTGGGGATCCCCAGGCATCTATGGCTTCAAAATCTCTCTGGCTGGTTTTGGTGCCTAGTGAGTCCGTCCCCCTGGAGAAAGTGAGGATATTGCTACCAACCTCTCTCTGGGTGAGAGGTGATGCCAGGACACCTGTGTCACGCATGTGCACACGGCCAGCTAGGCCACCAGGCAGAGCCAGAGGAGCTTTGGGAAGAGGGAGCCTTGCCTTCTCCGCACTCCCCCCACCCCCACCCCAGCTGTTGTAGGGCTGCTGGCTCTCAGGTCAAGATGGTCCAACCTGCCCCGAGTGTCCTCGGCTCTTTACTGAAGGGGGCCGAGTCCTGAGCCAGGACCCGGAGGTTTCTGAATGCTTTTCTCTGCCCTCCCACCACCGCTGTGCGGCAGTGATGCTAGAACCAGCCCTGTGTCCCCCTGGCATTTGTCTCAGCTGAGCAGAGGATGCACACGCTGAGGTGTTTGGGTTTCTGTTGGTGCGTGTTGTCATGGCGTACAGTCTGGAGGCCTTTTCATACCGTTTTTGGCCCCTCGCTCATCAGGAAATACACCAGCAGGGGGAAAGGAAACACTCCCGGGACAGAAAGGACTGTCATGCCCGATGCACCTGCCGCAGCACTGGGGCCGAGCCCTCCGCCATGCCCGGAGCCCTGAGGCTGACGGTTCCCTCGAGGCTGGTCCCTGGGCTGACGGAGGAGACACTGTTTGTGTCTCATAGGTGACGAAAACAAAGCATCCAAGTCCTCGGGTAAGGCCTGGGAACCAAGGTCCGCCCCTGGTGTAGGAAGCTTTACAGTTTCCCCCGCTTGGTGACTTAGGTAAAATCTGAATTCATGGAATTAATGAATGGGGCCCGCATCTTTTTTTTTTTTTTTAAGGATCTTATCTATTCATTCAATGGAGGTGGGGGGGCACGAGCAGGGGGAGCGGCAGGCAGAGGGGGAGGGAGAAGCAGGCTCCCCGCTGTGCCGGGAGCCCCGATGCCGACTCCATCCCAGGACCCTGGGATTAGGACCTGAGCCGAAGGCAGACACTTATCTGACCGAGCCACCCAGGTGCCCCTGGGCCCACCCACAGGTTTTGAGAACCTTTGTGGGATGACCCTAAAAGCAAAAGATTCAGGTACCGATGTCAAGAGGCCTATAACTGAGTAGGGACAGAACCTTGCCGAGGAGCAGCCACACGGGGACAGAAGGGTAAGTGTCCGATGAGAGAATGACACTGGGGGGGACGTTGGGTGGGGGCTTCCAGAAGGTCACGGGAGGAGGAGGCCGCTTGGCCCGGGAGGGTCAGGGAAGGCTGCGCGGACAAGGCGGCATCGCTCCAGGGCCTGCCAGGGTCCGCCTCGGCTCCCGTGCCCCTGGCAGGGGGTCCCCGGCCACCACCCTCTGGCCCTCCTGCCCCGGGCTCTGCTTCGGCTTCTCGCTAGCACTTGGCGGGCCCTGACCTTGCCTCCGAGTTCTCTTTCTGGGAAATGCAGCTCCGCAATCCGCTCCCCGCGGGCAGCCCCCCGGGGTCCGTGCGGCTCTTCCCAGGCCGGCCTGTGCCCGCGGGCGCTGAACCAACGGCCAGGCGGACAGACGGGCGGGTACACTTTTCTCTCGCAGGGCATCACCGGGATCCGTTTTGCCGGAGGAGCAAAGTGCTACATCAAGGCGCAGGTGAAGGCGCGCGTTCCTGAGGTGGACACGGCGACCAAGCAGAGCATCTCCTCCGAACTGGTGGGTACCTCGGGCCTGCAGGCAGCGACCCGGCTGGGGGACAGCACCCGACTGGGGGACAGCGCCTGGCTGGGGGGCAGCACCCGGCTGGGGGGACAGCACCCGGCTTGGAGGACAGCACCCAATTGGGGGACAGCACCCGACTGGGGGACAGCGACCGGCTGGGGGGACAGCACCTGGCTGGGCGACAGCGCCTGGCTCGGGGTACAGCACCCGGCTCCAGGACAGCGCCTGACTGGGGGACAGCGCCCAGCTGGGGGACAGCACCCGACTGGGGGACAGCACGCAGCTGGGGGACAGCACCTGGCTCGGGGGACAACACCCGGCTTGAGGGACAGCGCCCACCCCGCGGCCCTCGCCGGCTCCAGTGCCCACATGGGTCCGCGGCCGGAACCTGGGTTCCCTTCCTTCTCTGCCAAAGGAATGGAAACTGTTTGGGTCCTACTGGTCGGTCCGCAGAGATCTGCACGTGGGGTGCCTTACAGTGTCGGGCAACCTGTAAAAGTGCACAGAGGGGCTCGGTCTTCACATGGCCCTTGCTCCCCTAACATTGAAGGAGCTGGTTAGTGATGAGAACACTGTAAAGGACATCTCGTGACAAAATCTTCATTAAAAGCCCCCCCCCCCATCCCCCGGCCAGGAGCTTTCTTGTCTCAGTTCCACTCAGTACGGGAGGGAATTCTCCTGAAAATCACCCAACCGCTGATCACCCCACCCGCCCCTTGTAGAAAAGCAGCGACGGGGCACTCCCTTCCCGGGCACCAGCACGAGCCCTTGTGCCCCACTCTGGGCCCTACACTTTCTTCCCCTTGGCTCCAGCTCAGCCCAGGGCAGCTGCTTTACATGTATTCATTCCTGTTCTACGTGTCAAGACTTGTGAGTTTGGTTTGTTGTTGTTTTTTTTTTTTAAGCCTACTTCCATTTATTAGTCACAACTTACCTTTGAGCTTGATTTTTATAAAAATTCACTTTAAGAATTGCACAGAGTTCTTGAGACACATCTAATAGCTTACACTCACGTGATGCTCTAGGCCTTACCAAGTGGTCACATGCATTGTCGTCTTCCCTTTGAGCTGTGGCAGGGGCAGCGGGAAGAAGATAGACTTTGCAGTTAGGAAAACGCGGGGTTCATGGGACGCCTGGGTGCTCAGCGGCTGAGCACCTGCCTTTGGCTCAGGGCATGATCCTGGAGTCCCAGGATCGAGTCCCACGTTGAGCTCCCTGCATGGAGCCTGCTTCTCCCTCTGCCTGTGTCTCTGCCTCTCTCTCCCTCTGTCTTTCATGAATAAATAAATAAAAATCTTTAAAAAAAAAAAAAAGGAAAACACGGGGTTCAAATCCCAGCTCTGCCACTTGCTATGGACGTGGTTTCGGTTCTTCCAACCTGAGTTTTGTCACCTGCACACTGGGGGTCTGCATCCTGTCCCTGAGGCCCTGGGACCTACTAGATAATGACTACCTGGCTGCTGCTATAAACGACTAATTCCATTATGATCAGCTTAGGGCCCTTCCTGTATCCCCGAGAGGGAGGTAAAGCAGGCCTCAGCTCCCTTAAGGACGGAGGAAAGGAGGAAAAATAAGGGGAAGCAAAGGTGCCGGCCTGGAAACTGCCTAATTGTTTGCTGTCATAGGAGCAGCAGCAGCCGCAGGTGTCTCAAAACAAAGCAAAACAAAAGCTAAAAGATTAACCTGTGAGTGTTTGAAGCTGGCTGCCGTGTCCCCAGCTTTCTCCTCTGCTCCCAGGTCTCCCCAAACGTTCCTCGGGGGGACATGGTTTCCAGACCTTCCTTGCTCCACCATGTGACAGTCTGTTCTCCTGAGCTGTGCCACTCGGGCTCCCAGTGTGACCCCACCCGTAGGGACCCTCAAGATGAGCCCAAGACCTTTGTTCTGAGCCTTGAGCTTCTCTTACTGCGTTTCCATTTTGTTCCTGTCCTAGCGCTCAATTTCTGCAAAGCAGAATCCTTTAGATTTTCCTCTGTTAGATGCACGAAGAAACCAGCTCTCCCCTCCTGCCTTCCAGGAGGGCCAGCTCTCCACCCGGAGCTCACCGAGACCTCATCATAAGTTTGTAGAACATTTCCAGGGTTTTTAGAAAACAAGTTTTTTCTCCTCCTCCTCCTCCTCCTCCTCCTTCTTTCTTCTTCTCCTTCTTCTTCTTCTTCTTCTTCTTCTTCTTCTTCTTCTTCTTCTTCTTCTTCTTCTTCTTCTTTTCTTCTTTCTTCTTCTTTTCAAAACCAATACTTGGTCATTATAGGAAATTTGGGAACTACATAAAAAAGAACAGAGAAGAAAATCCCCCACAATCGCTTAACCCACAGATGTTAATGTTAACGTTAATGTCTTGGTGAATTATTTTCATGTGCGGGTGTGTGCGATATTCTTTTCATAATTGAAGTTAGATTGGTCTAGATTCTCACTATCTTCACTTTAGTTCTTCTCAAGTGTAGACTGTAATGGATATATTTTTTTTTTGTAATGGATATATTATATATCATCAGACGGTTACAATTTTAAAAGTCTTTTGTTCTCGAATGCTTCAGCCGTCTTCAGTTTTTCACTATTTCAAATAACGATTCAACATAATTATTGGAATATAGAAATAACTGTGATGAACAGCTTAGCATTTTGGAGCTCTGTCTGCGTCTGGTTCTTTTCTTAGACCATAGAGGCAAATTATTTGCCCTGTTTTTGTTGGTTGGGTTGTGCTTGGTGGATCCTCTGGTGGACAAAGCCAGATTCAGGCAATGTGTCTGCATAAATCAAGAATGTGCAGAAAACTACACTCCAAGTGACTTAACCCAGCAGGCTTTGTTTTTCTCCATAGTAGGCCATGTGGAGGGAGGGGGCTGCAGCGCTGATTTTTTTTTTATTTTTTAAATTTTTTAATTATTTTTTATTTTTGGTTCTTCCTTCCAGCTCCAAACATCACCCGTAAGTAAGGGAGTCAGGAGGAGGTTGAGCAGTGCCTTCCAACTGTGACTTCCCTTTAATCGGGAAAAGTCGAAGGCCTCCCAGTCACTTGACCTGGTTCAGGGCCCACCGCATAGTCTAGAACCGGTTGCATGGGCACCCCTGGCTGCTGGAGAGTCTGAGAGCTTGGGTCCTGGGGGCAGGGACACTGTGGCCTCGCACAGAAGCAGGGCCACATGGCAGGGGCAGGGGAGGCGAACTGGGGGTGGGGGTGGGGGGATCTCACGTTCCTAGTTTGTAGGATGCGATGTTTGCATTCTCCACTCTTCCCCCTGATGACTGCCCACTTCAGATTATTATTATTATTTTTTAAGATTTTATTTATTCATGAGAGACACAGATAGAGAGAGAGGCAGAGACACAGACAGAGGTAGAAGCAGGCCCATGCAGGGAGCCCGACGTGGGCCTTGATCCTGGGGCTCCAGGATCATGCCCTGGGCTGAAGGCAGGCGCCAAACCACTGAGCCACCCAGGGATCCCCCCACTTCAGATTATGATGGAGTAGATGGATGCACCACTTGTTCTTATCAATTTTTCATCAGTTTTGTGTAACTTTAAAAAGCTGCTGTACCCAAAGAGCATTCATTTCCTGGATGGAGCCATTTAATTTAAGGTAAATAACTGGATTACCTGAGTGGTAGCTTCCTCCAATACCTTGTAGCTGTTTAAATGCAGCCATAAACCTGGGGGAGAAAGTATAACTGAAGGGCTGCTTTTAGCTAAAAACATGGAGAAAATATTTTAATTTCTCCAACCTATTGCAAACTAATAAATATATGAAAGGAACAACCTGGCAAAATAAATTTGTCTCCTGGGCCATCAGACAGTTCTCAGCATCTTGCTGTAGAAGAAAATCCGGGGTTTAGCTTTGAAATCTCAGTGGTGTGCTTGATGCGAGGAACATCTGAAATGTGTTTTGTTATAGCTGGGAAATGTAGAAATGGTTTATGTTAAATAATACTTTGAACTGAAGACATTAAAGAACCAATCACTTGCTTTTTTCCATTGTTGTTTGGAAGCTGCAGAACAAAACCCCAAAGGATTTTTCACTTCAAATGAAGGGCTCCTTTATAGGATTTCAGAGTCCATTCAATTGCTTTTCCTCAAAAAAATCTTTGATCAAAAACATCAGATTAACCTAAGTCTGAAAGTTGGTTATCAAGTAATTTTCACTTCCACTCAGGACATTCAGTATTCACACGTTTCAGTTATCCAAAGGCAGGGCGACAAAAGGGGCCAAGACAATATTGTGAAGAGAGCTACAAAGACACACACCCTGCCACACACTACCCCCCCAACACTACGCACCACTACATGTCCCAACAACCCCACACATGCCCCCCTACACACCCCCCACACACACCCTACATACCCCACACACATACCCCATGCACCCCAAATCCCCACATGCACCACACTACACACACACACCCATATACACACTCAACCTCACGTACCCCCTACACATACACTCCCACACCCACCCCACACCCTACATATCCTCCCCACACCACACCACATCCCACCACCTCACATACCCCCTACACATACACACCCCTCCACACACCCCACACCATACATGCCCTCCCCACACCACACACACATCCCACTACCTCACATACTCCTCTACACATACACACCCCCACGCCCACCTCCCACACCCCCACACCCACCCTGCACACCACACACTACACACACCACACACACACATCCCACAACCCCACATCCCCCCACATCCACACCCCACCCCCTACATTCCCCCCCAACACCCACACACGATTCTCATTAAGTTTTTATTAGGCGGAATCATCTTTTACCAGCACTCTGAACACGCAGCATGTGTCACTGTCTCCTTTGCTCAGTGCATTTCATTTTTACTTATTTGCAGGAAGGCAAGATCATGCCAGTTAAATACGAAGAAAATTCTCTCATCTGGGTGGCTGTAGACCAGCCTGTGAAGGACAACAGCTTCTTGAGTTCTAGGATCTTAGAACTCTGTGGCGACCTTCCTATTTTCTGGCTGAAGCCAACGTATCCAAGAGGTGACATTTTAAATTCTCTTACTGCTGCTGGGGAGGCTCCCCATTTGCGGGAGCTTCTGGGAGCCCCTCCACAGTGGGAGCCCATCAGGGTGGGCACCCCTGCATCCTGCATTCCCTGCCGTTTTTATTTAGGACACTTCCCCTTCTTTCTGCTTTCATCCATTTGCACTTTCCAATTTTACATTTTTTTTCATTCCTATGGCACAGAATCGAGGGACTAAGACGGTGTCGTACTGCTGAATCTTTGTGATGCTCACACCTAGAATTATGGGGCAGCCGAAAGCCGCTGTGGCCATAGGTTGAGATTCTTCAAGTTTGAGGCTCGAGCATTGGCTTCCAAGCCCCGTGAAAAGAAATGAAGGGCCCCTGGGGTTCAGGGCTAGGTTGGAGCACACCTGGGAGCTGGCTGTGGACCCGAGGGCCAACCCTTTCCCAGAGTTACTCTGTCCCCAGGGGTCCTTTCACTCCTCACCACGGTCACCCCACCCCCCAGTGGCCTACTGTGTGGCTCTGGCTCAAGTGTGGAAGGAAGGTCTTTCTCCCAGCATGGCTCAGATAGAAATTTATGTTTTCTGGAAGGTTTTATTGGACAGAGAGGGAGGAGCATGGAAATAAAATACCAGCATTAAAACCCCCAGGCTTGGGAGGGGGCAATGGGCAGGGATTACGGAAAAGGTGCAGTTAGTTTTGCAAGATGAAAGAAGCTGTGGAGCTAGATAGACACTTGCACAGCCGCGTGAATGCACGTGATGCCACTCAACTGTACAGCTAAAAATGGTGACGGTGCTAAATTTTATGTATATTTTAGCACAATTAAAAACAAAACAAAACCAAAAACAAAAATAACTCAGCGGGCTTAGAAAGTCCAGGCTTCTGTTTCTGTCACTACTAATTCATTCCTACGGGTCACAAGTCTCATTATGTCCCAGAGCCTGGATGAGGTGGTTACTTTCTGACTCAGGCAAAGCAAATGAGATCCAACTTAGAGGCCACCGGCAGTGGCTTTCTGGAAGAGCTGAGAAGGATCCGGCTTTCTGGAAGAGCTGAGAAGGATCCTGAGGCCACACGCCGGCCTAGAAAGGAGGGGTAGCATGAGCAGTGTCTGTCTCCACTGTAGGGGCTGGGGGGGGGGGGGCTGCCGAAAGGACTGTCCCTCTTGCCATCCATGCTCTTGCTCCAGTGGGTGCTGGCAACACTGTTCTGTGGCCTTCTGTCAAGTGCTGGCTTTTGATCCCTCACCTGCCTCCACGTGGAATGGGGCCTTCTTGCTTTCCAGCCCCCCAGGAACTACTTCTCCAATACCTGTCACCTTGTGCAGTCAAGGACAAAAAGCCTCTGACTCTGCCACCATGCAGAGCACTCTCTCCTCGCCTTCTGTTTGAGGACAAGCCTCTTGCCCAGAGAGTTCGTTCATTTATTGAAGGCTTATTATGCACCACTTACCTGTTCTAGGCAGTCGGGGTGCATTGGTGCAGAACAGATGAGAACCCCTGCCCTCGTGGAGTTTACACTGGAGCAAGGGGGAGGCAGTTAATAAACACTAAATTAAGATGAGAAAATCGTAAGGTAGGATAGCAGACGCTACGGACAACAGAGCAGGGCCAGGAGGGCGGGGTGGGGAGGGAAGACGGTGCTCGTCTGACAGTGAGTGCCTCCACCCTTTGGGAAAGGGTGTGCTCCCTGCATCCGGGGTGCAGCTTGGCCCCTCAGCGCCCACAGCGTGACCGCATCTTAACTATTCAGTCATCACAACACCCACCCCAGGATGACCCGTGACGTCCAGCACCAGAGAAGTGGAAACCACCCAGACGCCCCCGGGGCCGGAGAGGGTTCAGTAACCGTGGGGCTGGGCGCAGAGTGGAAGAGGACACACCTTAAACGTGAAGCGTTTTTCCTCAGTGTCTCGTAAATGCAGTCGCGTTTGATAAAGATCAAGAAAATAAACCCCCCTCTGAGGATGCTCGGTCCCCCCCACCCCGTTCTCCTAGAAGCCCCCCAACTCCAGGCTCCAGCAGCCTCTGGCCTCGGGTCCTCGGGCTGGCAGGTCCTGCACGTCCCGTGTGTGTCGGGCGCAGGGCGAGGGCAGGGCTGGTGGCCGCGGAGCTGTGCGTGCCACCTGCCGGCCACTGCGCCAGAGCCCCGCGGCCGGCCCGCGGCCACTCCTTAGCACCCATCCACGCGTCGGCCGTGAACTAGTCCCGTTTTGTAGATGAAGAAACCAAGGCTCACCGGGATTGAAGAACTTGCCAGAGGTCACTCGGTTAGTTAAAAGAAGGGGTGCTGAGATTTGAATCCAGGGCTCTGATGCCTCTCCGGCCAGCAGCTCAGAAACCTAAAAAAAGACCCGTGGAAGCTCTCCGTGGCCGTAGAGCACATCCAGGGCCTCAGAAATAGCCTGGGATGACGCAGTCCTCGCCACCCAACACGAGCGATCAGAGGCCAAATGCTGTGCCAAAACCCTCAGACACAACGCTGGGCTCCATCACTCCTCTGCCAATTGGATACATCATCCCCATTTGACAGATGAAGAAAATGAGCCTGAGACACTGAAGCCCACGCACCGTGTGGCACTTCCCATGTTCGTCATTCGGCAGCCACGGGTGGCGGTGGTGTGATGAACCAGAGCACTGGCCGGGAGCCAGACAGGGCCCGCTCGGCTCCTGACTCTGCCACCCAACCTGTGATCTCGGCCAAGTCTCTTGGCCCTACTGAGCCGTGATGCCCTCATGTATACAAGCATCTGCTTTCTCTATTCCACCATACGATTTTTAATCCCCTGAAAATTATAAGGCTTTAGACACTTATGGTCAATCCATAAGGAATGCACAGGGCTGAGGCCTCACTGGCTCAGCTGGCGGAGCACGTGACTTGATCTCAGGGTTGTGAGTTCAAGCCCCCTGTTGGGTGTGGAGCTTACTGAAAAAAAACAAGAAATGTTCAGGCCAGCAAGTAACCATACCTGACCGTCAGGGGTTTCAATAAATACAGGCTGGTTTTTTTTTTTTTTTTTTTTTTTTTTTACAGGCTGGTTTTTATTCATATGGTCACACATCTGGAGGTGGGTTTCTGGCATGATCAGCTACTCAGCCGTATCAGCAAGGCTCTTTCTCGTTGTCCGTTTTGCTACCCACAGCATGCTAGTTTATCATCTTTGTGCCTATCCCTTCTGGTCACAAATTGGCTCTCGTAACCGAGATTTATCTATGTTCAAGAAAAGAAGACAAGACAGAAAAAAAGCTGTATTGGTCTTCTCTCCCCAAGAAAGCAAAAGCTTTCCCAGAAACTGCACCAATATATTCTGCTTACATTGCACTGGCCAGAAATGTTCCATCTGGTCTCTCTTAATTGCAAGGGAGGCTAGGCAAGCAAGTGGGGTTTTACTTTCTCAGCCCCTACAGTAGAGGCTGGTAGAGAAACAGAGGATTGAGAATGGATTTTTGTCAGCTATCTCACAGTATCTGTGTTAGGACTTATAAAACCAAATTTTGGTTTTCTGTATGTTTAACTACTAACCCAAGACTTTCACTGAAACATGCTTTATTATTTTAAAAAAATCGTCAATACAAATTTCAGTATTTGGATAAGAATGTGTTTTGACACCCTTTTATGCTCTTACCCTGATAAACATAGTACTTCCTTAATTATTCAAACAAATGAATGTACAGCAATTTTTTTTTTTTTTCAGAAATCCAGAGAGAAAGAAGAGAATTGGCAAGAGAAATTGTTACAACTACTACAAGACGACCACGCAGTGGACCACGGGGCAACCCAGGCCCTGGAGGACCAAATAATGAAACCAGACCCAGTGTTCAAGAGGATTCAGAACCCTTCAATCCAGACAACCCTTACCACGTACGTACCAATGTTGTCACGACGGCTGATGTATGAATCCCTTGAACCTAACATTGAAGTGGTGGTTATTTCTACTTGAAGTTTCAAATGAGCACTTAGTATTCAACTTAGATTTTTACTCAGTTACTTTAAAAGTACATCATGATTTGTCACAAAGTTTATAAAAGGAGGGTGACACTTAAGTATGGTCTCTGTAGTGTGAAATCCATATTGGTTGTAACCCTTCACAAAGTTGTTTTCTGTGCTCTCCTTTTTTTGAGGCATGGGCAAATCCATAAAGGCAAATCCACACGAGGAACAGGATTATTCAAAAAAAATGTTTCCAAGAACGTGTCCAGGGGACAGCACACAGAATTGAAAGTATTCTCTTTACCCCCTCTATAACCACTTCACTCATTCATTCAACAGACATTTGTTGAGGACCTGCTCTCTTCCACGCCCTGTGCATCGAACACAGGCAGGAGTTAACTTCTGCCTTCAGGGGCTCTCAGGCCAGGTGGGAGACAGACTTACACAGATAAAACACTTTGGACTGAAACACTGGGAACTGGGTGTTCATAAGGATGGCACTAACGTTCTAAAAACGTCTCAAATCTTCGGGATCCCTGGGTGGCGCAGTGGTTTAGCGCCTGCCTTTGGCCCAGGGTGCGATCCTGGAGAAAATCTTCAACAAAATATTATTTACCATTACTAGAAGTATAGGGAACAAAAGAATAAATTTTTGCAACTAGTGTTTTAAATGAAAAAATAATACATGCATATATATATATTTTTTTTAAATCTAGAAGGGTGTACAATGAGGTGTGTTTCTCTTCCACCTCAGACACCTACCTTCCCCAGAGCAACGTATTAACAGTAGATATTTGCCCAGTTTTCTTTGCACAAGAAAGTGTACCACATGAACATACACGTTTTTAACATGAGAGCATACACCAGTTCTGTATCTTGCTTTCTTTCCAGTTACAACCTCTTGGAGATTGTTCTGGATCTCCTACATTGATCACCTCATTCACTTTAATGGCCACATCGTATTCCATTGTGGGGGTAGATGTGCAGAAATTTAACTAGTTCCACTTTGATGGACATGTAGATTATTGCCCTTTTGTTCTTTTAGTAAGATACTGTTAATAGTATATAACCTCATACATGCCCCAGAGGGAAGGCGTAAATGAGGTAATGCTGGCAAAGCTCTTAGCACAGTGCTTGGCACACAGTAGGCATTACCTTGTTCAGAGTTATTAGTCTTATACTTTTTGTACACATGTGGGAATATATTTTTAGCATAAATACAGATGTATGGGTCTACTGGGTCAAAGGAGACGGGAATTTTACATTATTTAATGGAGGATGCCAAATGGTCTCCTCCCAAGGAATTACACCAACTCATTATCAAACTTTACAAAAATCTCTACCAGTTTCCTGGTCGTAAAAGTGTATCTTTTCATCGTTTCATCTTGCTGGTCTTTAATTATGTGTAAGCTTGAGCATCTTTTCATAGACAGGCAATTCATTTGCATATTTTTTCCTATGTAGCCCATTCAGTCCTATACTATTTCACATGTGCAAATTTGTCTTCTAGTTTATGATTTTAGACTAACATATTTTAGAAAGATTTAGAGCAGATGTATTTTTTTAAATGACCAGAGGCTTACTGGAAAATTCAGGGCACCACAGTATTTCTTCATTCCCTAAAGCTCAAATAAATAAAATCTGAATAGGCAAACAGAAAAATTTAATATAGCTTATTCCCCTGGTAACTGGGTTAACTAAATCTGGTTCAAGGGAGAGGGCAAATGCCCTTTACAGAAGGGCAGGATGTGACTTTTATCTGCCTAGCTTCCAGACTTGAGTGACCAGTTTTCCTTAAAAAACTCCAATTTTATCAGGTTTTCCTTTATTTCATGCTCAGCTTTAAGAAAAAACATCTCCCATGATCTCAGTCCTTTCACATGTTCCTTTAAGGAACTATCCTAGGGCAACAACCTGAGATTTCCTCCCAACTTTCAGATCCTAACCAACCTTTTTTGAACCTTTTTCCTCAAATGAGGAAATGCCTAAACCGACAGGCTTTTGACTCTTTCTGCCCCGGACGAGTCAGCTACAATTAAAAAGGTGGTTTTCTTTTTGCTGTCCCAGATGAACCAAGTTCAAGAGATAAGGGAACACAAACGGAAAGAGTCTGAAGAATAAAAAAGAATGGTTTAGGAGAGTAAGGCATATATTCTGACGATAAAATCTGAACATAAACTCTATCAGATGGTGTTAAGGAATTGTTAATTTTGTTAGGTATGGTAAACGGCATCATAGTTGTGTAGGCAAAATACTGTTTTAGAGGTACACTCTAATGCATTTATGGTTGAAATGGCACAATACCTCCAGTTCTCTTGAAAGTCGCCTCAAAATTTAAAATATTTTCAGAAAGGAAATAGTCAAGCAAATCTGACAAAAGGTTAGCAACTGTCAAAACTAGATGACGTTCAGTACACAACTGTCTCCCCTTTCCAGTATTTTTTATATCCCCCCCAAAAAAACACAAAACCCTCCCCTCCCCGACAAAAGTTAAGGTTTTGTATACCACAAAAGATGATAGGGTTGTGAGGTTCACTTTGCTCAAGCCTAACCTATGTTTGGTGTTTCACCTCCCCAGGCTCAACTTCCCCAAGGAAAGAGACTCAAGTGAATAAAGAATATACATCAAGGGCTTCTTGGCAGTGTAATTCAGTAGCATATTAGAGAGAATACAGAATCTATACCCCCTAGAAATCTATGAAAAGGAAAACCAGATACATACATTTAGCAGAAGGCAAGTTCCTTCCAGTCCTGGGGTATCTCCAGCAGTGAAAATGGGGGTTGTGTAGGTGATTTTTACTACATCTATGACTATGTAATTATAATAATGGCACATAGAAAGTAGAAAGCAAAGTTTAAGGTCTTGAATTTTTAGACATTATATGGTACCTTTTCCTGAGCATTACAGACCCCTCAAGATTGAAACCAAGGCAGATAATCTAAATGATGTTTTCAGCCAGTGCAACTGTTGTAACAATCTGTTTGCTTAGATCAATGAGTTTCAAAGGGTGAGCCAAGAGCCCTGGAGGCCGTTAGTATAAAATGGCACCAGTGTTCCACAGACTTAAATTAGCAGGGGCAAAAATGCTACTTTTGAATCAGGTTTCCTCTTTTGCCTATTTAAAACAAGTTGGGTCACTACTGAGTGGGAACCATGGCTCATTAAAGGCATGGAGAAACTACGTAACATTAAAAAACAAAAACAAAAAACAAAAGACAAGACCTTCCCGCCCGTGACAGATGGAAGGTTCCTTGATGTTTTAGAAGGAATTCTGAATTACTAGGTTCTACGATTGAAAACCTCTTAGAGAAAAGTATGATTTCCTGTGCCAGTGAAATATTCAGGTTCTTATTTTAAAATAATGTGCATGCTACAAAATTCTCATTATGAAGAAAACACAATTACCTTTTATTTCACAGCAGCAGGAAGGGGAAAGCATGACATTTGACCCTAGACTGGATCACGAAGGAATCTGCTGTATAGAATGCAGACGGAGCTACACTCATTGCCAGAAGATCTGTGAACCCCTGGGGGGCTACTACCCATGGCCTTATAATTATCAAGGTTGCCGATCAGCCTGCAGAGTTGTCATGCCTTGTAGCTGGTGGGTGGCCCGCATCTTGGGTATGGTGTGAAAGCTCAGTTCGTATACCCGGTGCTTGTATCATAAAAACTCAAGAGACAACCAGAGTATGAGGCATCTTGATGCTGAAGGGACCACAAAGTATTTTATACTCAATTTCAGCAATGCTATTCAAGATATTTTTAACAGCTCTCAATTGCTTTACAGAACTTCATCCAGAATGTGCAAATGTACTGAAAGGGTAGTTTAAGTCTAAAATGCCCTAACAATCCCTTTATTACTGGCTATTTTTAATTTGCTTTGCTTTGCCAATAAGGCCTACTTACAAGACTAACTTTCCAAGCTACTTTGAAATAAACATGAAAAAATCACAATGTCAAAGATCTCAATTGTACACTTGAGTTCTTTTTAATCAAGTCACTGAAGTAATTAAGGTGTTTCTGGTTATTTGTACAGAATTCTTCCATTGTTCTTAACCTTCATTGTTCTCAGTCTTGCAAATGTGTTCCCAGATAAAAACACAAACAAAAAAGTACAATGGGACATATGATGGGATTTACCTGAGAGCAAGCATTATAAACTTCAAGGTGGTAGCTCACAGGAAATTTATTATAGTCTGTGCTGGCATGTGACTAATAGGTGGCTGCCCTATGTCAGGAGTCACATCACGGAAAAGAGCATTAGGATAAAGAGGTGAAAATGAAGTCCAAGATGAGTCGGGCTTGTGGGAAAGGAGGACTTTCATTGACATTCTGAAAAGCAGGTCTTCACACCCTTTTCAATCTGTCTTCAGTAAGTGGTCACCGGGTATGAAGCAGCAGAGTGAGATCTACCTTTGTAGTACAAATCAGGCTGTTGATGTCGTTCAATTACCAGTAAGTTACTCTCATAGTAATAGGACTGATGGTGATGCCTGGCAGATCTGGCTGAGAGGAATGGCTTATTTATTTCGAATGACATAAAATCTCTTAGGAACAAGGACTGTCGTTAGAAACTGAAATATCAGGAAAAGGAGCAGGTATTTCGTACTGACATTTTAGTTTTGAGAGACCAAGAACTTTCTTAAGGAAAATAAAAGTTTTCCGAAACAAGGCAATGATTCGGAGAGATTAAAGAACAGTTTTGATACCATGATCTCACTACAGTCCCCTAAAAAAACCTTATTACTGTACATCTAGTATTTGCCAATTTAAGTTGGTAAAGTCTTACACAGTTACTTAAACCTGGTTATCTGATGAACATTCGTATGTCTGCATTTAATAGAATATACAGGGAGTTAGGTCTCTGCATGAAAATGAAGGAAAGACACACGCAGAACTATACATTTAATGGTCACACTGTTCTCAGGCACAGATAGAATTTTACATGTTTAGTCTTTAAAACAGTTGTTACTCTATTAACTAAGCAAATATGTGTCAATGGTTCTGGCCTACCATCTCCAACTGCACTCTCCAGCAACCTGTACACTTGATTCTAGAACCAAATAAAAAGGAAGAAAAATCCCACCAAAAAGCCTCAGTGATCCCAGCCCAGAAGAGCTTGTGGTCTCAGAGAGACGCAGATAAGCAGGACTTAGTACACAAAAAGCCCAAAAAGATGAGAGCTTTGGGCTTCTTGAAAGCAGAGAATGCCTTTGCTAGGTTTTCAAGGATAAACAGGAGTTAGCCGGGAAAATGTGACAGAGGAAGGACATTCCAGGCAGAGGGAGGACTTCCATAAAGGTGTGAAAATGCGTGATTATCATCAGGCAAACGAAGCATTCAGGTCGAGGTAGAACATATTAAAATGGAAATGCAGATAGAAGAAATCTTATATTGCAGGTTAACTTTGAACTTACTTGGTGGATAAAGGATAGGAAACCATGAAAGGTTGCTGGCATGGAGGGAGGTGTTCTCCATTTTTAGATGGATCACCCTTGGTAGCTTGCTTGAGAGAACTGAGCAGGTGCCAGACTTAGTAAGGAGCAAAAGATGTCTTGGGGAGGAGGCGGTCTCTTGAAAAGGTGCTCCCTTCTCTAAGTGCCATAATTAAACAGAAATATAGGAAGTGAATAGTCTAAACAGAGTTATGTTGTGCTATGTCAAGAAATACCCAAGGAAGTCAATTCAATAGAAAAAATACTGATGTTTTAAGGGCACAGGGGAGATTCAAGGTTGGATTAAAGGTAGAAATGACCAACTCAAATTATGTTCAATGGAGAAAACTAAAAGCTTACTGTGAAAGAGAACAATCCAGTGTACAAAAGACGATTTAGTGAAAGACACTGCAGAATATAAACTATGCACAAATTGGTACTAATCCCAAGGTTATCTTTAATCAGGCCAATCTAAAAGCTGTAAATGTAGCCCAGTCTGCTGTTCTGAATCTTGACTCTTTGTGTACACTGTGTATGTATACATTATATATATGTGACATTTTATTATTTTATGGGTAACTCATTAATTCTCAGCTGTAAACTAATCCTATGGACATCACATGTCAATTTTCAAGCTCCTCATCTGACCCAGATAACCTTAAATGTGATAGTTGCTGCTGCATAAGCACAAAGAAAATGAAGAAATGGTCTCATGCTGGGTTCTGATAGTTTCTGTTACATTAACATATCTCACTAAAATAGGCCAACATAAGTCCACTGCAATTTTAAAAATTTGTTAAAACCTCATCCTTATACCTTCTCCAGCACCACCTCAAATAATTGACACTAGAAAAGTTAATACATTCAGAAGAATCACTTAACCCATTCAACAGTTTATTTCTTACACCATATTTTATTGCACTCTGAAATACAAGCTACATTCTTACAAAATAGAAATTCCTTGTGTGGGGAGGAAAATTAATTTCTGTATAAGCTGAATATGCTGATGTTTTATGAACATTTTATAGAAAGGATTACAGTATTTGTTAGAGTTAACTGCCTACTGAGGGGGAAAAAGGGAGTTGGCAAAAGTCTACATGCATAGATAGTCCTAAGTAGCATATCTCAAACATGAAGGTGTAAATTTGAGTCAATGATGCAAACGTTAGCAAAAACATTTTACAGGCACAGTTGAGTTTTGGTGTTTATAAAAGGAAGGTGAACTCCTTCCAAAGGGCTTTTGTACATATATGCATGCTCATATCTCATATGCATATACAGGTTACACCTTGAAAAAGCCCTGTATAGTATTCAGAATCAAATTTACAAACAGGTTAAAAGTTAGTGTTGCCTGACTTTTAACAATAAAAGGACTCACTACAGATTTTTTAAACTGTTTACATTCAAAAGTGATCAATTTCCATAGTTTTTAGGTACTTACCTCATAAAAGTAAGTACATCTATATATACATTTATTGCATGGACAACCTGGCAAGCAGCTGATTTTTTAGGCTTACTGAATCTTTTCCATGTCTTAATAGTTTTAAAAATCAAATATATAGGAGTCAATCATTATTAGGGTATATGAGTGATAAAAATCAGTAATGGGACTGGAAATAGTATACCCACTTAAGCTATAACTAAGTCCTTAGATTAAAACACCAAATCATTAAAAACCATTTGTTTTAAGAGATATACCCTGCTACGTTCCTTATATAAGCTTAGTAGTAACTTTACACATGTTCTGTCATAGACTCGTTCTCTCTGTGCCTGCTCCTTTCCAATAATTCTCTTCACATCAAATTCCTACAACTGAATTAGAACTCCAGAAAATTCAACCTCTTTTTTCTCAGATGGCTAAAAAATCTGAATTACAATGAGATAGCTTGAAAAAAAATAAAATCTCTACATATTTTTAAAACTCAGACTTTATTTGTAAATTTACTTGCAATTGACTTAAAAAACAAAACAAAAAGCCCCCAAACATGGTTTTGGTGGCTTCTTGTCCTTCAGACTTCCAAGGTTTGGATTACTTCATGGCAAAAAAATTCTCTTTTCAATAGTTACATTCCATTAGCCTAGACTATTATCCATTTTTATATTAATGAATTTGCTTCATACTGACATAGCCAAAGACCTGGAATAAACTAGTCAAGCATGAACTTTCCTTTACCAGAACATAATGCTTTTAAAGTGGTTTTTCAATTAAAACCATATTCCTACCTGTTAGTTACCGAGTTAGCTATACAACTACACAGTAAAAAAGATCTTCAAAGGACATACGATACTCAACCTAACATGCATGATACTCAACCAACCCCGTAATTTTTAATATTCACTTAGCACCTATGCATAATCAGACAGGTAGCATCTGAGAACACTCCAGTTGCTAAAGAAGAAATAGTGCCTCATTAAATACCAGTACTATGCCATGGCTCTCCATGAATACTGAATTTTCTAATATTCTTTGCTCGACTTTAATAATATCTCAGCACTGATAAGCTAGTATCTTGTCCAAATATTCTCAATTTGTTTCACTTTGAAACAGATTTCCTTTCATCATGTGCAATACAACAGTTATATAGATTCAATGAGTTTATCATAATGACCCTAAGGTTCTAATGACAGAGGAACAAAAGCAATCAATGAATGCCATTCCTCTGCTTTTATATCCATTTAAGAAGGAAATTCTTCAAAGGAACAAACACCCAAGCAGCTTTTTAGTCTTTGCTGAAATTTATAGGAAATAAGGCATTGGAGAACAGTAAGTGCTAACATCACTTCTTTACTCCTTGAAACTATTTTTTTTTTTAAGGGCTGTGCCCTTCACATTTCAAAATCATGTCATTAAAAACATGGATTATCCCAGTCCTATTCCAAATCCACAGATTCAAAATCTCAGGAGGGAAGTCGAGAAAGCCTACATATTACAAAATAAGCTTCCCAAATAAGGGTTATTCACCACTGAGAACCACTATGCTAAATATTATACAGAATATCTGACTAACGCTGTAAATTTTCAGTTGCATGATATTTTGGGCAACTGTCAGAAGGTCAGTACATGTTAGGGGAAATAAAGTTTTAGGTGAGTTAGATTCTGATTCTATCACCAATTATGTGTGTGAAGTATAGTAACGAATTGTTATGAAAAAAAAAAAAAAACAGTATTATGCACTCCACAAAAAATGCACCTGTAAAATCAAAGGTTTGGACCAGACAGTATTTAAGATTCCTTCCAGCTCCAAAATTCTGATTTCATTTTTCTTTGTTTTCTCTCTTCATATTGACAGGGGATGAAATGCAAATACATGTTTAAGGGAGTAATAGGTACCAAAGCTATTTCTAGTGTTGGCAGATGGGCCATAAAAACATGCCCTGCTGATCTGATTTTTACAATTCTATTAAACATAAAACCCCATACCTTAAGTCCCTGTTCACAACCATTCTATTTAATTCAATTTTGACTCTTTATCTATTCTGTTATAAACTATACTTATATTCCAGACAAGAAATAGCTTTGCTAAACAA